CAGCTCTGCCCGGACGCCACGCTTCCGCCACAGCCCCCTCCTCCTCCTCCTCCCTCTCCCTCCGTCCTCCTCACGCCATCACTGGGGGCCACGGAGTAGTGGCGCGCCCCCTCCCTCAGCACCGTAGGTATGAGACCCGCCGAGACTCCCCGCCAGCACCAAACTCGGGTATGTGATGTCTGTTATTGCTAGCAGTAGATTAGCTGGTTGATATTGTGGATAATGGTGGTGGTGGTGCGAATAACAACAACAGTAATCACACCCTGTCCTTCATCAGAACCATCATCATCACGCGTTCTTTCCCTGCTCTCCTCTCTTTCTACCCAGCAGAGGGTGGCTGGGTGGGAATTGCCATGTGGACTTCTCCAGCTGGGGATCCTCTCATTCCATTCATTCAGGTTTTTCTCTCCTTCCCATGAATCTGCAGGGTGGTAGTGAGGCCAGTAGTTTCCTCTTCCTTTAAAAGAGGGAGGGAAGGGGAAGTGAGGTGGGCAGCCAAGAGTTGAATGAAGGAGAAATCTTTCGCGCTGCTCTTTTGCCTTTGCTATTGCCATGCCAGCCTTCCTCAGGTTCCCCAGAAACTGATGGGGCAAGAATCTGCAATATTCTGGTGCTGCTTTTTCTTGATATCTGTGGCAGAAAAATACCTTTTCATTTCCTTCCTCTTAAAAGATTATCTTCCTTTATGAGTCAAGATAACATATTCTAGAGATGGGTATTTTATTTCTTATTGGTTTTAAGAGACTACTGAAAACACTAGAAACTTCTCCAGAGTGTTGCTTGTCGGGCAAATGCTTTCTGTCCTTCTGGACCTTTCTTTTCCTGCAAAGAATGGCCTTTGCAGTGGGACCTATTCTTGTTTAGATGAGTACACTTTAGAAAGATATAACCAAAATAATTTAGTTGTAATTGTGTCATGGACAACTTCCACAGATTTTTATTATATACAATCCTGATCATGTTCCTGAAGCATAAAATGCCTGGCACTTTAGAAGCTAATAAACATACTTTAGCAGAAGATTCTTTAAGCTAAAAGTGTGCTTTTGGTGCATTGGTACATTGGATAAAGTAGGCCCTAATTGCTACAGGAACCTTGCTGTTGAAAGAGTAGGGTATGGTTATAGTTTTTTATAAAGTCCAGAAAGGCTTTTGTCATGCTACTCTATATTTATTAGTCTTAAAGTTGTGATACCATCTTAGGAGCCCCTAGTGTCCAGTGGAGACGGTGGGACAAGAGAAACACAATAGTTAACAATAATTTCCAGAGATAAATAGCCTCAGAATTATGATCATGAAGATGTGTGGTGGTAGGCTCTAGACTCAAACAATAATAGAAGAACCCATGCTCTAGTCTCCAGCTGCAACTTGTTGCATAGGAGGGTAGTTGGAGCCAAATAATGTAAAAAGCATGAAAGAAGGGCTTTCGTAACCACCAGATTACCCATACCAATTTCTGCAGGGCATATAAATGCAGTCTCTCTTACACACAGTTTAAAAGTCAAAAGTGTTTTAGCTGTTTCTTTTCTCTGGCTCTAAGGACATAAGTGGCTCAGGTATCTTCTATGACTGCCCTTGTCACAAATATCTGAGTCCTCTTAGCTCTGTAAGACTGATGAGGATCAGATCTGGAAATCTAGGGGTGTGGTAATCCTGGATGCTCTGCTTAGACAGTGATGAGAATTGGACAAGGAGGAGTCACAGACAGATGCAGAGATTCCTACATTATACTAAACTGGTTTGCTTAAGTATATTTTGTTGAATATGCAATAACTGAATTCACACATTGCACTGTCATAACTCCTTGCTCACAAACCATAATGGCTGGGTTTACATAATTTGCTTAGCCAAAACTAAACCAGCTTATGGTTTAGTTAGTATGATGCATACCCTATCACTTCTAGCACTAGTGGAGAACAGGTAGAAGAAGAGAAGAGGAGACCATTACTGTATCACAAATGATTAGCTTTCTAAAAGGAAAGGAGTTACTCCTGCCTTCTTTTGGAATATTAAAAAAACCCTCCCATTTCAGATATACTGTTTTCTCAGTATAATATTGCCAAGGCTTATCAAGATATTTCTGTTGTAGTTTATTATATGGATTTTATTTCAAATGTGTACTAGCTTTAGGTAATGATTTACAGTAATGTAAATTATTTCATTTTTTTTCTGACACTACAGTAGCCATCACTTTATCTGCAATATTAGTTTAAAAAGTCTATTTTAAAACTGTTTAGATGAAACAGGTATTAATCAAGTGAATGTATCCGCATGTGATAGGACTTTTTCTTCTTTTCACTGAATCCCCTCAAATGTTCTCTAAAGGCTTTTCCAGCCCTCTGCAGCAGAGGTAGAGAAATGCAAAGGGAAAGGGAAATTCATTCTGTGTAAGGATGCCATTCCATCAGTAGATAGATATGGCCTATTAAGACTGGAATGTAAGAGATGGTGTTTGGTAGCAGTTCCAGCATTTGTCAATTTTATTTTCAGTATTTATTTGGATATAGTTTGTTCCTATGTACGTTAGTCAGCATTCACAAACCAGATTTCTGTGTGACAAGATATGTGAGAACAACCTTTTAGGAACCCTTTTTTGTAGCTTTAAAACTGATAATTATATTTGCTGTGTAACTCCAGGAGCAATGAAAATAGCTATTAAAATGGTATAGACCCTTTCAGTCTGTAATCTTCAGGATCCACACTGCTGAGCAGTTTGAAATATTCCGATAATAGGTTTTGCAATGACTACCCTCTAGTCCTAAATGCACTTACCAGGATGCAAGTTAAATTATTTGACTGGAACTTCAGCACAGCTTATTTGGAACCAGTAATGGCTCAGATTAATCTGCTTTGACCTTTTCTGCAGTTATACAGGAAATGAATCTCTGGTATGGTGCTATTGCTGAAGTCACATTGTAGTTACTGAATCACTCTGTTTACTACAAATTACATGTCTCATCTTTGGTAAGCAAGCCTTGATCCTCCTATGGCAATAATTAACTTTTAATTAATAGTTTTCAAACACCTCAAGTATGTCGGATTGTATTTCCTTCTACTCCAGTATAAAGGGAAAGTGGTTGGTGTTTTGCAGAAAAAATTGCCGTCAAACTTAGTAAATTCTAAAAATGCTAGGTGTACATTTTCAAATAGCTCTACAAATATGCAAAAACTGGCAGTAGCTACCAAGTTCCACAAAATTCTTATAAAATCTTTTTCCTTGATTTTTACTGTGTTGGATGACTATTGTACACTATGGTATAATTGTATAATATTGTACTCATCTATTAATGAGTTAATGACGTATATATCTCTAAAGTTCAGTCTAAGAGGTTGCAGTGCATTCCAAAAGTATTCGGACCCCCTTCACTTCTTTCAATTTTGTTATGTTGCAGCCTGATACTACC